AAGCCAGACTTTAATCCTTTTTTGCTGCCAAAATGCCCGCGCTTTTCGCTACTAGTGGGCTATAACATATAGCCCAGTAGTAGCTCAACCAATCAGAACGTAGCATTGATAATAGACCACTAGTTGGATTTCACTAATATCTGATATGCAAAAACAGCGAAGTAATATCAAACACGAGTAGGAATGTTCTAGAGGATATCCAAGCCGCGAAGTCATATATTAAACACGGGAGGGAGTGCCTCATCTGATATCCAGTCACCGAGAAGTGATATATCAAAAACTAGTAGGAGTGTTCCATTGGATATCCAGCCGCGAGGTGATATACTAAACACGAGGAGGTGCGTTTTATCTGATATCCAAACACCGAGAAGTAATGTAAAACACAAGAAGGAGTTTTTCATCGGATATCTCTCACATCCACTCACCGAGAAGTGATAAATCAAACACGAGCAGGAGTGTTCCATCGGTTATCCAAGCCGCGAAATGTTATATAAAACATGAGAACGAGTATTTCATCTGTGTCCAGTCAAAGAAAAGCGATATAAGAACATGTCTAGTCACCGAAAAGTAAGTGAAACAAAGGACACGGCCAAGTTTACGTAACCATCCACGAGCTGAAGAGTATTGGATGAAAAACACCGTTTGATACAATCGATAGTTTTTCGCGTAATTAAAATTTCTTGATGAAACTTACAGCAGAAGTTTGCAAACTTAATATTCTGCTGGCAGAGGCCCCTTCTCCGAATTAAACGCAGACGTATATAGAATGAGGTGGTTAAGTTTAGCGCAACTTTTAAAGAAACATTTTAGCTACACAATTTCTTAGTGGCAAAGACGATTATGAGCCATACATTCTCAATAAAATTTCCAGTTTACAGAATTCTTCAAAAGGTCTTTAATACATTGTACCCAAAAAGCTTACACTATTTTAATGTGATCTTTTAATATTCTGAATTGCTTACTCTTTTGTTTGAGAATAATATGTGAACGAGACGAAAACTATTATCAAGGACGCGCCTACAGTAAAAGACAACGGCCATTTATACGACGAAAAATAAGACGCTTCCTAAATAAGACGTAAAACTGAGAGGTATAAACGACACATATAGACTGAAATAATTCACGACTTAGCTAAGACGCGTTTGATCTAACAACAGGTGTTAAGGGGTGTTCTAAGATAAGACGCGTCTAAAGAAAATCGCGTCTTAAGGTTGATTTCCACTGACCCGTTTTTGGCTACGCACGTTAACGCACGTAAATTTTAATCACGTAGATTAAAAAGAGGTTAGATAAAAAGTGCTAACTTAAACAAGAAGTTGAGCGAGGTTCAACTTTTACGCTTACGAGCGACCTTTCATGCAAAGCCTCTATTTTATTTGCGAACGTAAATTTTACGCACGTACGCACGTAAAAATTACGCGACACTGGAAATCAACCCTTATTTCAGACAAAATGTGCCGTTTATAAGTGATAGTTTGCGTCTTATTTAGGACGAGCCGTATTTTTGTTCCTATAAATGGCGTTATTAAGAGTATTCAGGTTATACCTGTAAGATATTATGAAGCCTCTCCGTATTTTCCCACTGCCACCAGACCCAATCTCCGGGATGCACGTTCAAGATCCGTGGAGCAAAGCCTTGGTCACGAACATCAACTATGTGATGCTAGAATGGACAAAGAAGGAATTTAAATTTCCTAAATGAGCTTCGTTAATCATTAACTGCTAAACTACAATTGCGGGCGACCAGAAGAGCCCGCAATCCTAATCTCCAGGTTGCTTTTACGCATGCGCAGCAAGTACGTAGCCAGCATTCGTTTGGACTTAATCTAAGAATGAATGGCATGCATAGAACGAAATCTGATCACGAATGTTTGGACCTTCTAACACTCGTAATCTGATCCCATGCAAAGCATGAGCGTTGGAACCAGATAGTTTTTACCTTCTATCAGGAGGCTGATACATCTTGTATCGATCTAGCCCGCACCCCCAAACACTGGGTTATTACTAGTATGCTATACTATACTATACTGTACCATATTTGTCAATGTGTAAAACTCATTTTATGCAAACAACTTTGAAGTGGACGTTTTCTGAGAATCAGATTTGAATTCTAGTAACTCTTACTCTAAGACTTTGATTGCAACTTGGGTCATATTTCATACACTGGGAAGATAAAGTAGAAACCTTTGCCTTGTACAAACCTTAACTTTGCTCTCCACTATAACAGAACAATAGCTTGATAAGGAGGGAGAGTTACTGTCATCTTGCAGGCCATACGTAAACACTCCTATGTCCTCGAACTTGTGCGTTATCAAGCCTAACGAATTCATCAGGCTAGCCTGATCTTTAAGTCTCTTACAACCGCAGCCTGAAATAAAAGCTCGCACTGTTACTGTTTGCTTCTCATCTTATTATTCATTACTTCCCATTGTCTTATTATTGATATCAACATTAACTATCAGAAAAGACGGATCGAAAGGCACCAATCATATCTAAAGTCTTCATAGCCAATAACATCACGGCTTAACTGACAAACGTCCAATACCATCGCGACTAAATTGACAGGGGAACACAGGGGAACATAGGGGAACACAAGGTAACACAGGGGAACACCACAGGGTAACACAGGGTAACACGTGGTAACACCACAGGGTAACACGTGGTAACACCACAGGGTAACACAGGGTAACACGTGGTAACACCACAGGGTAACTCAGGGTAACACCACAGGGTATCACAGGGTAACACCACAAGGTCACACCACAGGGTAACACAGGGTAACACCACAGGGTCACACAGGGTAACACAGGGTAATACAGGGTAACACCACAGGGTAACACAGGGGAACACAGGGGAACACAGCTATTGACCAATCAGGTCAGTAACCAGACTTGAATGCCGAATACCATGAACTGACATGAAAAAGGTCACTTTGACTGTGCAGGTAACTACTTCACAGGTTGTCGAAAAGTCAGTCACTGCCAACAACAGTCCTATTCAGGACTACACTCGTCCGGACGATCTTATATCCACCTACTCATGAATAGTTTGTTGTTTGTTCGTTTTTTGCGTAGTCTAACCCTCGGCAGGGTAAGCTCAGTCGGTAGAGCGCTTGACTGCAGAGAGGGAGGTCGCGGGTTCGATTTCCAAGGCCGGACCAATACTCAGGGTCTAATATAATGGAGAAATGAAGGTACTACCTTAGCCCTGCAAACGGGTAGACCTTCAAGTGGCTCGAATGACCACGTTAAATGGCTTTCCCGTCTCCGGTAGGAGACGTAAAAAATAGTGCCCCCAATTATTACTTTCGTGCTAAATACATTGAAACTCAAATAAAGTGCTTTTTTTTATAGTCTTGATGGTTGTTTTCCTCGGATCATCGATACTCTTGCCCACAAACTTCCGAATTTGAACCATCTGATCGGAGATGCTTCGGTTTCCGAATGCTTCTCTTACGGCACCCAGAGGTCAATCTCAATTTGGGGTATGGAGAGTAGTGAAGAGAAAAGGAGTCATGCCACGTCGGATGCAAGTAGCCAGGTTGAACTGGATAAAGATGCAAGCCAAAGAATCACACTAGAAGCAACAATCTTACCAGAAGTTGACGATTTCTGTCTTGCGGGCGAACCTCTAGCTAAAGGTGCACAGCGTTCCACCTACGCCAAACAATAGTGATTGAAAAGCTTCAGTGAGAGTACTAGGAAAGAGTAAAATGAACGGAATTGGGGACAGACTTTTTTTCAATTTTACCTCAACACAAATTTTATGGAAGTTTGATTTATAAAGCTTCAGAATCATTCGTAACTACCATAGTGCCCACATGTTTTTTGGTGAACGAACGACGAAATTACGCAAACTGGCCGAACTAAGGTGGAGTGATCTCACCGCTGTACGCTAACCTATTTCTTCATTTGTATTTGAATTTTTTTTTACATTAATAAGCAAGGTAGAGAGTGTGTACCTCTTTCAAGAACAATGTGAGATTCTCGTCGTCATTGAATGCCCACCAAACTCTTTCTCCTTTCTTCACCGTAGCAAGAGCTGGAAAAAGAAGACAAAAAGTCTCATTTGACAACATGAAAAACTCCTATTTCAGAAAGAATCAAAACTAAGACTTTATCACCTTTTTGTATTACAGTCGAACCCCACCTAACACCCGCCGCTCTTCAGTAAGGAACTTAAGCAACGGGGTTTTTGAGCGACGGACGTCAACCGGAAGTGGATTTTTTGCATCATTGAGCAGTGGAGAAGGCCTCACTTCCGGCTGACGTGCGTGGCTCAAAAACGCCTTTGCTTAAGCCCCCTAGTGGCACACTTACAAGCAGAACCGAGTGGCCACGACGTGACAGTGGCGTCAAAACAAGAGCGACTGCAGAGCCTCAAAAAACAGCAAATTCTCCTCCTATCGTCGTTGGTTTGGTACGACTAAAACGGTCACCTAGTTGACGTTCTTGCTAAAAAGAAAAATATATTTGCAGCGCTGGCCCCAGTTGTTCAAAAGGTGGATAGCGCTATCCACTGGGCAGTGGCGGATCCAGGGGAGAGGCCCGGGGGGCCGCCCCCCTTATTTTTAGACCAAATTAAGCCCCAAAGGGCTTAAAAAAATTTTTTTGGAGACCGCCCCCCCCCCCCCCCCCCCCCCCCCCCTGTAAAAAGGGGTGAGCGCGACCCCCGCGGGGGGGGGGGGAGGGGGGGGGGGGCGCGGGGGGGTGCCCCCCTTCTGTTTTTAAAAAAATAAGACCCCAAGGGGTTTAAAAAAATTTTTTTGTGGGCCCCCCCCCCCCCCCCCCCTTATCTCAGGGTCTGAATGACCGGCCCCTCCCCCTTTTCTGAAGGACTGGATCCCCCACTGCTGAGTAGATCATTATCCACTGCATAGCGTGTCTGATCCCCGTGACATACGTATCCAGTAGATAGTAATTCGCCTGGGCCCGGTTCCTCGAAAGATGGTTAAGTTTAACCCAGGATTAAGCCAAATTTTAAGCAAGGTTTTCTCATCTAAGAACGTGCAACTCGAGCTTACAAAATACTGTTGTGCCTTTACTCCGAGATGCAGTAATGATAACACAAAATGTTACTGTAACCAATACATAGGAAGGTAAAGTACAAAAACGGAACAAAATTTTAATCCTCGATTAGTGCTAATCGGCCCTTCAGGAACCCAGCTCCGGTGGTTAGCGCTATCCATCTTTTGAACAACTGAGGCCTGGAATGGATCAGTAGGAACAACAAATAGTGGTTGTTATGGACAGATGGCTTTTTGAAGAGGTTCGAATGTCTATTTCCCGCACAGTACGTTAAGGTGGTACCTACAAGGTTTAAATTGACCATTGTGTATGCCCATGACATGTTCCGTTGGTTTGGGTTTCACTGCCAGACATCCTTTGAACTGGGACAGATCGGCCATATTGAAAACATAGTGATACAAGCCAGGCTCAGTGAACTGATGAGAGATGAGGTCGGCCATACTGCTGCATGAAGTAAAAAGACAGTACTTTAATACTACGTAATGTTTTAAACAAGTGCTGCAGATTTTATAGAAAAGGTTAATATATATATTTGGAAAGCCTGTTTGTTTGTTGTAGTGGGAGGGAGTAGAGAAAGAGTCAGAGGGTAAATCAATGAGACCATAGTAGAGATTATCGACGAAAACCGACAAAAATGAAGATGATGGATTATCGTGAAGAATCGCCCATATAAATGATGACTGAATAGATTAATGCTGCGTTTCTAATGCTCAATCAGCTCAAAATGATAAGAATGCTATTAACATAGTGGGCAGTTAATTCCACAGAAGTGAGCAAAAAGATGTGTAACATGAAGTCTGACAGGATTCCTAACCATCGCACTTTATTGCATGCATGTACCTATGATGAGACAAACTGCTGAAAAAGCAAATTTAAGACTCTTTACACTCAAAGAACGCTTCCTCAGACAATTTACACTGGAGCTGAAGACTATGGCATTTTTTTCGCCTGTATAGGAACATCTTGCTTGTGCACAAATAAGGCCTTAGATATACATATACTCAAGCATAAAGTCAGCTTTGAAGACCGGTGTGGTTCACTTAGCATAGTCACATGTAATTACAACGTTTTATTTTATCCAGAAACACACAGTCCCGACAAAAAGTTGGAAAATTTACCTTAAGCCAGATGGACTGGTTATTGTTGACGAAACCTAAAATGACATAAAAAAGCAAATAAAGTAAGAGCAACTATCGCCATTTTTTGCAATGTTAAATGAAAATCTGTTCGCCTTCATTTTTAAAAAATAACCCTAAAACTCGGCATTATTTCCTCCACATTTTCTTCTTTTTCACTTCTTTCTTTCTCCTTCTTGTTCAAGTCGAAAGAATTTCACACTCTTTTTTTTGCGAAGGTAACTAAAGTTTATTTGAGTAGGATATTAAAAGGAGACTTACCAACGGACTTGAACTGGGACCTTCTTTGTAGACATAAGCATTCAAAATCTTGCAGCCATTAATATTCTACAAAAAGGTTGTAGTTTTCATTACTTCATGTTTAACGTATAACCGGTAATTTACGAAAGAGACAAAACTGTTTCGCGGAGAACGTCTTAATCGGCTAACAGTCATATCACGCCATATTTTCTTTCATCTAACTTCCTCATGCAAGTTTATGATGCGAAGCTTGCATGCTTAATGACCCTCATAGCCTGTGGGGAAAAGGCGGCTGTACAAAGGCTATGGATGGCCAACAAAAAATCGCAAGCTGCGTTCACTATTCAGCATATAAGTGGCTCTTCGGGCGCATTCGATTTGCCGCTGGCATAATACCTGCAAATTATTCTCAAGACTTGAAGTTGGCCTTCAGTTTTACCTTGGAGGTTGAACAGTTAAGCCAAATTCTGTCTTGGACCCTGGCAGATATAACGTTTGGTTGAAGAACTTCCTCACTGATGTCTATTAAAAATTCCCTGATGAAAAGAAACAAACAGACAATGAAGTTCCTCTTTTTAACAGTTTACCACTTGAAACAAATGAGATTTCGATTCTCGAAAATTGCAATGTACGGTAGATTAATGCCCTTCTACTCGCCGCTCGCGTGCATGGGTTATGCGCAGAGTAACTTTCCAAAAAAAATAAATTGCAGTCCTATTTCATTCGAATAGCATACAAATATTAAAAGTGCATTGAACATGTGTGGCCAGTTAATGTGTAGTCCTAACATACAGGAATCAGGAATCATGGTGCGACAAATATGACTCCAATGACGATGACGATAACAATGATGATTGAGGATACTAATGATGACGATAATGATGGTAATTATGATTATAAGGATGATGATGATGATGATGATGATGATGATAATGATGATGGCATTGAAGATAATAATTTGAGAAAGACGAGGATAATGATGATGATTGTAATTATGATGTCAATGATGATATTAAGATTAATGACCATAAAGAAGTCGACAGTGAAAATGATGACGAAAGCCTTCACAATAAGTAATGGAAATAGGACTAAGTGGAGTAAAATTCAGGGAGTAATCGGGCGAGTAATTTCAATTAAGCGATACGAAATAACGAGCCCGATTACCCCTAAATTGTACAACACGGGGTCCTATTACCGATTAATTGTGTCAATGACAAAATGAGAGAATCCCAGTCGTGGAATATTTATTATATAAGAAAAAGATCCAAAGCAAAAACATGATTGGTTACCACTTAGGACGAAATTATCGGAATGCAGAAGCCCGACCACATGATGAACTTTTCCAAAAAACAATTACATTTTTTTAAATTTAACAAGCTGTCAGTGCCTAAAGGAAAACTATCTGGATAAACTTCACTGGACCAGTTAGTTTCATTCCATTTTTCTTTTCCAGTTGAAGCTGGACAGCCTACCTGGTCCCTATTTTTTCATTCACTTGGACTGGTTATCATCTGCCATGCAGTTAAATTTCATTGGCTGGTGGCATTTGCTACTTGATTTTCATTGGTTTTTTAATTGTCTGATTTGACCAGTCTGATTACAAACTCCTGGTAATCGGACAGTTCAGGAGTTACAAGAGCAAAATTAAGCAATAAAAATCATGGCTGTTTACAATCAATCAGATTCAAGAATTTTTTTATTGACACAATTACGACAATAATGATAGTGATGATAATGAACATGCTGATGATTAGTGACTGAAGGGGGGGGGGGGGAGTGAACAGAGAAGTGTGTGATCAGTCTGTGATCTCCCATTATATCAGTCCAGGCTGATTAATGTTTATGAGAAGGATTGAAATGTACACACAAGCTTTTTCCTTCTTTTTCTTTTTTTTTTTTCTTCAAAATAGACAATTTACCTTTTCTTCTGTGTAACTTTCACTACACAAATCATGGAAACCTTTTCCAAGTCCTGCACCTCAGCATCACACATGTCCAAATAAAACAGGTACAAACCAGTATCTTGGAAAATCTTTCTATATTCTGATTTAACTTCAAACCTTAAAGAAAAAACGAAACAATTTACATCCAGGAATTCGTAAATAAGACGGTGATTAGGTTCGGGGTTTCTTACGTTCAAGCATTCTTATGTTCAACGGTTCTTACGTTCAGAGCTTCTTACGAATAGGGATACTTACATTCAGCAAAACATACGTCCAAGAGTTCTTACAACTAGAAGTTCTTACCTCCCAAAGGTCTAACGACGATATGTGAGCCCTGAGATAAATACAAGACAGAATAACACTATTCCCCTATTCAACCATCACTGATCGACTGTTTCACTGTGGCACAATTACTATTCTACCATTACTGTTCTGCCATCACTATTCCACCATCTCTGTTCCACTGTTCCACCATTACTGTAGCACCGTCACTGTTCTACCACTACTGTTCCACTGTTCCACCATTACTGTTCCACCATTATTGTTCTAACATTACTGTTCCACCATTACTGTTCAACCACTAATATTCCACCATCTTTGTTCCACCACTTCTGTTCCACCACTACTGTTCCACCGATAATATCCCACCATTACTGTTCCACCATTGCTGTTCGACCACTACTGTTCCACCATTACTGTTCCAACAGAACTGTGCCACCACTACTATTCCACCACTACTATTCCACCACTACCGTTCCACCATTAATGTTCCACCAGTACTGGTCTACTTTGGTCCAGCATTTCTGTGCCACCACTACTCTTCCACCACTACTGTTCGACCAATAATATTGACCCATTACTCTTCCACCATTGCTGTTCGACCCTACTGTTCCACCAGAACTGTTCCACCACTACTGTTCAACCATTACTGTTCCACGACTACTGTTCAACCATTACGGTTCCACCACTACTGTTCCACCACTACCATTCCAACATTACTGTTCCACAACCACTACTGGTCTAACATTACTGTTCAACCACTAATGTTCCACCATTACTATTTCACAACTACTGTTCCACCATTAGTGTTCAACCACTACTGTTCCACCACTACTGTTCCACCAATACTGTTCCACCAGAACTGTTCCACCACTACTGTCCCACCAGAACTGTTCCACCACTACTGTTCCATCATTACTGTTCCACCAAAACTGTTCCGCCGTGCTGTTCCACCATTACTGTTACACCACTACTGTTCCACCAGAACTGATCCACAACTACTGTTCCACCACTATTGTTCCACCATCTTTGTTCTGCCACTACTGTTCCACCATTAGTCTTTCACCATTGCTGTTCCACCACTACTGTTCCACCATAACTCTTCCACAACTACTGTTCCACCATAACTGTTCCACCACTACTGTTCCACCATTACCGTTCCACCATTACTGTTTCACCATAACTGTTCCACCACTACTGTTCAACAATTACTGTTCAACCACTACTGTTCCACCATTACTGTTCCACCACTACTGTTGCACCATTACTGTTCCACTACTACTGTTCCACCATTTCTGTTCCACCACTACTGTTCCACCAGTACAGTTCCACCATTCCCGTTCCACCATTACCGTTCCACCACTACTATTCCAGCAGAACTGTTCCACCATTTCTGTTCCACCACTACTAATCCACCATTACTGTTCACTACTACTGTTCCACCATCTTTGGTCCACCATTTCTGTTCCACCATAACTGTTCCACCACTACTGTTCCACCAGTATTATTCCACCATTACTGTACCACCACTACTTTTCCACAGAACTGTTCCACCACTACTGTTCCACCAAAACTGTTTTACCACTTCTGTTCCACCAGAACTGTCACACCATAAGTGTTCAACCATCACTGTTCCACAACTACCGTTCCAACATAACTGTTCCACCATTACCGTTCCACCACTACTGTTCCACCATAACTGTTCCACAACTACTGTTCCACCAGAACGCTTCCACCACTACTGTTCCACCAAAACTGTTTTACCATTTCTGTTCCACCAGAACTGTCACACCATAAGTGTTTAACCATCACTGTTCCACAACTACCGTTCCAACATAACTGTTCCACAATTACCGTTCCACCACTATTGTTCCACCATTACCGTTCCACCATTACTGTTCCACCATAAGTGTTCCACCACTACTGTTCCACCACTACTGTTCCACAATTACCGTTCCACCATTTCTGTTCCACCATAACTGTTCCACCACTACTGTTCCACCACTACTATTCCACCACTACTGTTCCACCATTACTGTTCACCACTACTGTTCCACCATCTTTGGTCCACCATTTCTGTTCCACCATAACTGTTCCACCACTACTGTTCCACCAGTACTATTCCACCATTACTGTTCAACCACTACTTTTCCACAGAACTATTCCACCACTACTGTTCGACCAGAACTGTTCCACCATTACTGTTCCACAACTACTGTTCCACCACTACTGTTCCACCACTACTGTTCCACCATTACCGTTCAACCATAACTGTTCCAAGACTACTGTTCCACCAGAACTCTTCCACCACTACTGTTCCACCAAAACTGTTTTACCATTTCTGTTCCACCAGAACTGTCACACCATAAGTGTTCAACCATAACTGTTCCACAACTACCGTTCCAACATAACTGTTCCACCATTACCGTTCCACCACTATTGTTCCACCATTACCGTTCGACCATTACTGTTCCACCATAACTGTTCCACCACTACTGTTCCACCAGTACTGTTCCGCAATTACCGTTCCACCATTTCTGTTCCACCATAACTGTACCACAACTCCCGTTCCAACATAACTGTTTCACCATTACCGTTCCACCATTACTGTTCCACCATAACTTTTCCACCACTACTGTTCCACCATTAGTCTTTCACCATTGCTGTTCCACCACTACTGTTCCACTATAACTGTTCCACAACTACTGTTCCACCATAACTGTTCCACCACTACCCTTCCACCACTACTGTTCCACCATTGCCGTTTCACCATTCCTGTTAAACCATAACTGTTCCACCACTACTGTTCAACCATTACTGTTCAACCACTACTGTTCCACCACTACTGTTCCACCATTACTGTTCCACTACTGCTCTTCCACCATCTTTGTTCCACCATTTCTGTTCCACCATAACTGTTCCACCACTACTGTTCCACCGGTACAGTTCCACCATTCCCGTACCACCATTACTGTTCCACCACTACTATTTCACCAGAACTGCTCCACAAGAACTGTTCCACCATTTCTGTTCCACCATAACTGTTCCACCACTACTGTTCCACTATTACTGTTCACCACTACTGTTCCACCATCTTTGGTCCACCATTTCTGCTCCACCATAACTGATCCACCAATACTGTTCCACCATTTCTGTTCCACCAGAACTGTCACACCATAAGTCTTCAACCATAACTGTTTCACAACTACCGTTCCAACATAACTGTTCATCCATTACCGTTCCACCACTATTGTTCCACCATTACCGTTCCACCATTACTGTTCGATCATAACTGTTCCACAATAACTGATCTACCACTACTGTTCAACCATTACTGTTCAACCACTACTGTTCCACCACTATTGTTGCACCATTACTGTTCCACCACTACTGTTCCACTATCTTTGTTCCACCATTACTGTTCCACCACTACTGTTCCACCATTACTGTTTCACCACAAATGTTCCACCACTACTGTTCCACCATTACCGTTTCAACACTACTGTTCCACCTTTACTGTTTCACGATCACTGTCCCACCATTCTTTTTCTGCCACTACTGTTCCATTTTCTCTGTTCCGCTTTTTTACCCTGACTGTTCCTTTACTACTGTTCCACTACTACTGTTCCACCATTATTGTTCTACTACTACTGTTCCACTATTACTGTTTTACCATTACTGTTCCACCATCACTGTTCGACTATCTTCGTTCCACCACTACTGTTCCACCATTACTGTTCCACCATCTTTGCTCCAGTACTACTGTTCCACGATCTCTGTTTGACTGTTTCACCATCAGTGTTCCACTATGACTGTTGCATCATTACTTTGTTACCATTACTGTTCCACCATCTCTGTTCCACTGTTCCATCATCACTGTTTCACCACTACTGTGCCACCATACCTGTTCCACTATTACTGTTTCACTATCACTGTTCCACCATTACCGTTCACCATTACTGTTTTACCATCACTGTTCCACCATTACTGTTCCACCATTTGTGTTCCAGTGTGGAACATTACTGTTTTACCATTACTTTAAATTTAAGTGCTGTTCCACCCTGAATGTGCCACTGTTACTGTGTCACTATTACTGTTTCATCGTCACTGTTCCACTAGTAATGTACAACCGTTACTGTTCCACTATTACTCTTCCATCATTACTGTTCCACCAATACTGTTACACCATCACTGTTCCACCATGTCTGTTACACCACTACTGTTCTACCATTAGTGTTCCACCATCACTGTTTACTATTACTGTTCCACCATTACTGATCTATCATCTCTGTTCCACTTTTCTACCATTACTGTTCCACTAGTAATGTTTCACCATTACTGTTTCCCCATCACTGTTTCACCAGGTTAATTACTTAGCCTGCATAACAAGGGTTTCCTTGAAGTTTGTGACAAAGTTGGGACAAGAGCAAATAAGAAAAAGTGAAGTACAGGAGAGGAGTAGAGAATTCAAGCAAAAGCGGGCAAATGTTTCCTCTTTCCCCCTCCCCTCCCCCTTCTCACAGTAGTGTATTCTCTTGTCCAGGGGTTCTTACATGGAAGGATTCTTACGGCCAGGGTTTTAAATAAGCAGGGGTTTTTTCATCAAGGGAGAAGTGGGTGTGAAAGCGACACTATTAGATTATTGTTATTTTAAATACTGGTAGGTATTTAAAGGAGCAAGAAAAATCAACAGTACCTTAACTTTCTCGCAAGAAATCCACCATGTTTAAAACAATATCTGGTAACAGAAACCAAAAGATTTAAAATTATATGCAGGAAGTTTAGCTTATTGAAATTCAGAAAATTAGATGTCTGAATCTATAATGACAGAAACCTACCCTATCTCCTGCAGATAACAAGGAACTTCAGAATCTCCATTTTTGTAGGTCCACTGCACAGTTTCACCTTCCTGTATGTTCACAAACTGTGGCTCAAATCCTTGGCCAGTTATCTGTAGATAAAGATACAGTCAACTCTCTCCAAGACGGACACCTTTGGGACCGGCACTAAGTGTCCGTCTTAGAGAGATGTCCATCCTATAAAGAGTCAAATAAAGGGAATAAACAAAGGCAGGGGCCAACTCTTGGTGTCCGTTTTACAGAGGTGTCCATCTTATAGAGGTGTCCATAAGAGAGAGTCGACTGTACATGTAATATTGGTTGGGGAAGCAGACACAGTTCATTGTTGGTTGATACCCCACAACTTGTAATCCAATGTAATAATATTTATTATAATGAAGGGCGCTATCACAACATACTTTGATTTCACCTCTGTGTTTTTCCAAAACCTCAACTTTCAAAGTCTTCAATCTGTCTGGCAAAGATTCACTGCAAATTATAATGACAAAGACACACAACATGGTAAAAAGAATGGTTAATTTTTGTGCAAAATCACAGCATAGTATAATATTAGAATCCCTCCTTTATTTACAGAAATTTTTCTTGAGGTGGGTAACTCAGCTTCCTCAGTTGTGTTGGAAATGCTGTCCTCACTAGCCCACAAACTAGGCTTTTCTTGTTTTTATGAATTCTCATTTCAAATTGATTATATTAGGCCACCATCTTAGAGGAAATAAAAATTGAACAAGGGAGGAGGGGTATCAGAGCAGGGCTGGCTTATTGTTTTAAATGGATCGTGTCAGGACGCCATCATTCTTTGGCTCGCCCCAACCCTCTGTCAGTTTTTACATCCATGATGGCAGCAGAAAAGTCAAAGGATTATTATCATCACTTGACAAGAAAAATATACTTCTTTTGCAGGCAGCTATGTCCCTAAGTAGTTTCCCTGAACTTTTCAACCTTTTGTGGAACCTGCAGTAACCTCATTCTATTGGTAATGCCACAAATCCTGCCTCATCACATGCAAGAGCGACTGGAACGATTTTGGTTTGATGCAAGGGATCTCGACCACCCTTCCCAGCATCCTTTGCACCTTGCTTATTATTCTAACGACCCATTGCATGATACTTCGTGATCACTCACAGTTACATTTTCCATCAAACACTTAAAATGCCTAAACAGGGCTAGCCTGTAATTAAGTTTTTAAGCAGCCATAGTAACTGAAGATTCACCTGTAACATCTCACAAAAATTTATCATGCCACCTTTAGCTAATTTCCACTTTGGTCACCCGTAACATCAAGTGTGCTTAGCCATAACAGGTGCTACAGGTTACAGCCCTTAGTGACAGCTCTGCAAGGCAGCCACAAATCTGTTTGTATGCACTTGCAGGGCTCGAAATTAAAAAAAATGTCTGGTCGCAAATTTGCGACTAGTTACGAAAATTTGGTCGCAACTTTGAAAATGTTAGTCGCGAAATTAATTGAGGCCATTTAATCAAGAAATAAGTAGGCTTTTAAATGATTAACGCTTTAATTTCATTCTGTCAACAGCTTTCATGTCATTTCGAGACTTAATAGTACAGAACGTTTAGCGTCTCGGACAACACCAGTTCATCTAAACGATCAAGTTGAACCTGCGTTAAGGCACATAAATTAGTGTCTGTTATTTTAGTCAAAGCGATAGATTTCCAAATCATGAACAGATATTACAGCAGGAAACTGCAGTTCTTAAATGCCTGCAATCTCTGCAAAATAGCAATAACATTTGTACTGGGCGGATACCCGACATGGTCATAGGTTACGTTACGTACACTCTTTTTTTTCTATAAGAATATATTTTATAAGAATATCGAGGCTGAAATTTGAGAAATTTTAAGAATATTTTAAGAATAAAGCCCAGGCTGAGGTTTTGAAAAGGATGTAATTTTGTGTGTTCAAAAACTGTAAATACCACACAATTATGTTTTCAACTTATTCCATCCTCTGAACGGCAAAACTTGCCAACAAGGCGCAAAAACCTGCACTAACTATACTTTATACCCCAATATATTCTAAAACGGAAATGTCATGAGCTATAATTTAAGAATAATACAAGAATATTTTCAGCCTAAAATCGGCAGAAAAATAAGAATATTCAGCCTGGGCCGGAAAAACAACATTCTTATATAAAAAAAAGAGTGTAACTAAATTCCTTTAGTTTTACCTTTTGCAGGTTTTCCACCGATGACAAAACAAGTAACGAATTCTNGGACTGTCAGCGGCAAATCAAAACGAAATATGAGCCTGCAATGTACATGTTTACAGAACCCGCTGAAAATGGCGTGCTGTTGAAGGAATATCGTTGCGTGTATGCATTCCAGGTAAATTACGGTAAACCTTCAGATTGTAACAAAATTATAAGACGCTACTTCAATAAATCTTTTTATTTCTAAATTTATTTAAGCAAAAATTCAAGTGCTAGTCCTTTTATTTCGTATCAGTTAAGGCAAAACCTAGTCGCAAATTTGCGACTAGTCTCGTTTTTCTAGTCGCAAATAAGAACAATTAAGTCGCAAATGCGACCGTATCAGTCGCAATTTCGAGCCCTGACTTGCAATATTGTAAATAAAATTTCCATAAAAAATACAAACCTTGCAAAAGTGAAATGCCCCTTCCTTCCAAAGCACACCTTAAAAGAGCCAGACTGTGTCACATCACCACTCTTGTACCCTCCTGGCACCTGATTCAACTGATCTACACCACTAACCTAAATTGTAAAAGTATTTTGGGGGACATAAATGAGAAGACTTATGGTTAAAAAATTATGGCAGACTTGTTGTAGTTCATTTTTATCCTTGGTTTAAATTTTATTTCCCTTTGTTTTAGACTCATTATGATACATTACCATACCCAAAAACCAAAGGGAAATAAAATTTAAACCAAGGAAAAAATTGAACCACAACAGATACATATATCGTATGTATATAGTACATGTAAATGAACATTTGCTGTTTTAAAATTAATGTAGTTATTTTAAATATTATCCAAACTGGTTTATACCATTCTTGAAATCCAGGAGGCGATTTTGGTGTTTTTTTTGGTTTTATGCCTTTTACAGGCTTTGTTTTCAAGAAAAAAAATTGGGGGGGGGGGTTAGTTTATGAGTCATAGAAAAGGTCATAAGAATTATTTAATTGACCACCAAGGAGAAAGTGCTTTGATCGGTTAACAAATTCTCCCAACTGATTCTTCAAGGAAACGTATGGAACACAGTCTAGAGAATGTTTATGTGGATATTGGTGCTTAAAGTATAAAGGGTTAATAAAATACCTGAATCACATTAAAAACTTGAGATGGTATATCACCTTTCCACTCGAACAATATGCACTGAGAATAGTTAAAATAAGATGACATTTACATGACTGCAGGGTAATTATGAGGATTCAGCATGAAGAAACAAATAATACATTATTATATTCAAGGCCGTGCTCTAAGGAACATTGAAGGGAGCCCAGTTCTCTGAACCTGTAAAATCTAGGGTGCCCAGCACATCATTGTGTTAAAGAAGGAGTATTTTCTAGTTGCGCAAGAGCAAAAGGTAGGTGCCAGGGGCCACCAGGCTCTGCTAGAGCACAGCCTTGATATCTGAAGTACCAATATATATATATTATTATTTCCTATGCCAAAAGTGTCATATCAATAGCCTGCGCCATAGACAAAACTACAATTAACTACATCTGCGAAACAGTGCCAAAATCCTTGATCAAGGTTAGATTATATCTGCGATGAAGGTTTCACTTCAACTGTGTGGCAAGGACACAAGTAGGAAAAACAAGACTTGAAGAGATGCAACAGCTTATTTGAAAATTTAAGACCTTGGAACAAAATGGCAAATAGTAATAGTATTGAAACTCTGAGAAATAAGAATTTGCGACTGTTTCAGGGGCACCCAACATCAATTTTCGGAAAATATCTGTTCGGAAGACTATTTGACATCTAGAATTTTCGGAACATTTGTTGTAAAATTTCTTGCTTGCCTGCCACTCCTAGGATTTTTGAACATCTAAAAACTGGTACAATTGCCCATTTTTAACAGATTTTTACCCTAAAAAGGTCTTTTCAAAAAGGTAAGTTTTGATCCCTATAATTTTCAGATCACTAGACTTTCAGCTAGGAAATCCGAATGGATGAAAAAATTTTAGGGGATAAAAATATGCCTATATCTACAGTTTAAATACTAAAATACATTCAACAATGCTATGTTTAAGTGGTTTTGAACTGTATTCTCGTTGGGTGTCTCTGACTGTTTACCATTTACAAAAGGTGTCCAGAAATTCTAAATGTAGCTGGAAGTACCATATTTATTCGATTAAAAGCCCCCTCAAATAAATGCTGCACCTAATCAAAAGAATGTGGCGTTTACTAGAGGATAATAAGAAAAACTTCGCTACAACTTGGTAATTCAGACATTTACTATTCGATCTCAGCAAAATAAGGGAGACATTGGAACCTTAAAATTACATAATATTTAGAGACGATATACAACAAGCGTTGTCAGTGATTTAAAAAAAAGTGATTTCAAAATAAACGCCGAACTCGAATAAATGCTGACTTGAATATTACCGCCACATTGGAAAGGCTACAAATTTAATGAACGCCAGGGTGTTTAATTGAATAATACGTCGGTAAATGAAATGTACCAACAACCCAAAAACTTCCCAGTTGAAATGTTTCAAATAGAAATTTGCGACCCACGAATAATTTGGGATTGAATTTACAAGTCCTGGATTTTGCTCACTTGCATTTACCAAACTGTGAACTGGTATGTTTCTCTGTGTAAATGGTAAAAAATCAATCAGTATGGTAGCTAGAAATGCCTTTGAAACTTTCAGAAAATTGTCGCAAAATATGCACTGGCCGATCAGAAGCCGGGATTTCTTGAAAAAGTGTTACAGACTACTTGATGGGGCTGTAAAATTTGCAAGCAATTCCACCATTACGAATGATATACCGTTAAATTTAATAATTTCGCAGCTGATTGGCTTCTTAGCAACCAATTACTAAATAAACCTTTACGAGGAAGTCACTTTTCCGCAAAGCTATTACGAAAATAAATAGAGTGTTCTTGCTAAGGCGAGCAGACAACTTTTTTCGACATTAATACTACACTTATAGTCCCCTCTTCTCGCTTTCAAAAAAATAAAATTTCAAATCTACCTCAATTTCACGCCGATTTTGCTTACCTGGCCTTCGTAAAGAGTGAGATTGCGAGGCGAGAAGCCTTCGTCCGAAATGCGGACGACGACCACTTCTGCGAGTTTATAAAAACAAAAAGAAAACAAACGTTGAGAAGAAAAAAGCAAAACATCGAAATAATCCCCACTGGATTAATTCAAATCGAGACTGAGCTTTCAGTCATCTTCGTCAATTGAAAGCAGACCTCATTTTCACGCTTCAGAACGCAACCAAATTATCGGATAAAATTAATTGTACCTCTAAATGCATCGCTTTCATCCTTCATTGTTGGAATAATGAAGTTCTTTGAAGGTCCAGAGCAAACAATTCCCATCATGAATGGTAGATCAGGGCTCCATGACAGATAATTTCATACCCACAACGACAAATCTTGCACTTGACAGCCATGACGAACGAGCAGGGACGCGAAAATTACCAAGATCCCTGTCTGAGCGACTCAAGCGATCTCCTACTTTCATCATAATTTTTCTGGCAAAGAATGAATAACACTACTGCTTTAGAGTCTCCATAATCAAGTACTAGGATTTCTCAAGACACCATTCTTCCCGAATTAAAGTAACATCCAGACAACAGTAATTTTGCATATCTTACACGAAACCCCGTCAACCGCCGCTTGTTATTCGTTCCCAGGATAAAGCTAGACAAACCCTCCCTACGGGGGGAGGGTAAGGGGTTCGCAACCTATGCAAGAAAATTACCGAAGGAAAATTTCTACTTTTGTAAAGTTAAGTATTTTGCTGCTTACACGTTGATTCTAAAGTTATGCTAGCCTCGTTGCAAGAATGATTAAATATCTCTTCCAGACGCTATGCCAGTTGGGGATGAGGCTACAAAGCCCGGAGGGGTTAAGCGGTATCATCATCATCATTATCATCATCATCATCATCATCATCATCATCATCATCATCATCATCATCATCATCATCATCATACCATCGTCTTCGTCGTCGTCGTCATCACCATTATTATCGTCGTAGTCGTCATCCTTGTCGTTGTCATCATTATTAGGCTGACTTTAAGCAAAGACGTTTCAGGCCACGCACGTCAACCGGAAGTAGACTTTTTGCAAAATTTGGCAGTGTTTTTGCCTTAATTTTTGGACAAGTCGTCTCTATAACCGCATAGACAATAAGCACTAAGAATTTGGCAGCATCAAGCTATATCAAAGGGTACAACACCTCACTTCCGGTTGACCGAAGACGTTTTATAGCGAAACACGTCAACCGGAAGTGGACTTTTTTTATCAGTGATTTCGTCCAATTTTTTTGGGCAAATCGTCTCTATCAGGAGCGCTTCTATATAGTTAATTAAATAAGCAGAGTAAAGACAAGAGACTTCCAGTTGACTTACGTCGCCTTGTCGCAAAACCTCGTGAAGCTCAGGTAAAGGGCCAGTTAACAACTGCGCTTACGAAGATTCACCTTTTTCAGCAGAAAGCACCTCAAGACAGGCTAGCCAGAGGATTTTTGGGTTTTTTGACGGTAGGCCCGCGGCAAAGGCTCATGGAACGGATCATGGGAAAGCTTCGAAAACGCAAACGCCCTCATTTAGACGTCGCGACTACGGCCGAAAATGGAAGCAAAAGATTGTTAAAGTACCTTGCTAAATTGTAAATCAGCCTTCTAACTTGCTTACATTATAATTTGATTATATTAGAGAAAAAAATAAGTTCTGCTCAGCGGATACTTGTTTTAACCCGGGTTACGTTGTTCAAAGCCGGAGAGAGTTTAATTCAATTGTCAATTAATTTGGTACATTCTCTGCCGTTGCTGTTTGACATGCAAATCCCCTGAATCATAGTTAGATACAATATTATTTTAAAAAAAGATCGTGAGGTGTCATTGAAATTGTTAGTGCTGTTTAATTATTCTGTGATTGCTAAGTGGAAAAACGATTTTATATTTCTGATTTGCCATGCTTCGTTTCTCAGTGTTCCAGCCATATTTGCTAGAATGTTACCTAAAAGGTTACAACAAACAAAACGTAACAGTAAATGAAAAAAGGCACATCCATGCAGGGAATCTTTCGGAGAACAGAATCATTAAGCGGTGCTTTTGAAATCCCGCAAGTTAGTTTAATTGGCATATTAATCAACTCCAGATCAGATAAGTACATTTTAAAAGTTAATTCAGATTATTACGCGCGAATGCACTAGAAAAATGAGATTAATCTTTGCATGGATCAGGATTGTATCGGCTGCGCCGATTCGAAAAGACTGTCAAAATGCAAAAGGATGCTGCAGCGTGTTTACCCACTTCTTCCGAATAAATGCAATTATAATTCAATTTTCTCGTGTTTCGGTTACGTGAACAGTAATTAATAATTCCTCTTTTCCCTTTGGTAAGCCGCCGCCAATTCATAAGTGAATGGTCCAATCTAATTTATTTTCCTTTACTGGCTTCTTTGTGACACGAAGTTTACTTGAAAGTAGACCTTAACCGGTTGGCTAAAATGATTTGGAAAAATTAATTCAAAAATCTCGCCGGGAATGCATTCATACAATTTTCCATGTTTTGCAACGTGAAAAGAAAAAGTGCTCTGTTAAGCAGCATGATTCCACTTAAAGGAAAATATGAAGAAACAAAAACGCACATCATTCCTTTTTTTCTTATTTCCCATCGTGAGTAAGCAAGCGACGTCAACCGGTAGTTATGCGTGAATATAGTCTAGTATTTTCCGCCGATTTTCTCGCCTACGCAAAAGTCCTCACCTGACATAATAAACCACTAAAAATGCAAATTCTGTTGACTAAGAAATTAATGCCTAAGAGGTTGATATCTAAAATGCACGGGGAAAAAAAGTCACGGTATCAAGTGGGTATGAACCATAGTGCTCTTGTCTTACAGACTCGCGGTTGTCACAGTTGAGTGCCTCTTAAAATCTTGTCAAGTCGCCTTTAAACCAACTCATCAGGAGAAAAGGCTTGTTTTTCACTGTATGAATTCACTTCAGAGCAGAAAAAAAAAGTGCGTGTTCTCATGAAAAATTCTTTTGAAAAAAAAGATTATTTAGTCAAAGAAATTACCGCACGCATAATTGGTCGTCGAAAATTTTCTCCCTCTCAGTCGCGTTTCTTCAGAAAGGTTGCCATACCTAGTGGTTTCCATGTGACCATGGACAGTCCGACGCTATCATCGGTAGCGATGTTACGGTAAGACATTTTTCTCTACTATTTTTCTTCTTTTGCAGATATTATTATTAATATTTATTGACTCCAGTTTTCTTTATCGCTATTTCTAAATGTTCCTTGAGTGGAAACCTCATGCATTTACACAGATTCAGTTACTGACATCCTTTGTATTAGAAAACTGAACGATGCGATGCTAAAGCAAGAACAAATAACTGTAAATCCCAGAAAATTATTTTAATCAGTGGTAAAATTTGCAAATAAAAAAAAAATTGGGAATTCAAAATGAATATCTCGGCAACGAAGTTGCAGGTTACTCCCGAAACTAAAAAATACCGGGGTGTTCAAAATACTCATATTTTGTTGCAACTTTCGAATAGCCTCTTTGAAATGAAAAGTAAGAAGTTGCTTATTTTCAAAAACGCAAAACCACGACCATAATATTCTCTGTAAATATTTCCTCAAAACAATAAGAAAACGTAAATTAAGCGCGGAAGATCCGATCGACGCTGCAGGCGTTTACCTGACAAAATAAAAGGAGAACATGCGCTCTTCAATGAAAAGTAATCGATAACTTTATGCTGAAAGTCAAGCTGATTCAACTGATCATAATTTAGGCAACTTAAGTGCTGTTCGTACCTAATCTAAGGTTGTCAGAGATATTAGTCCCAGAACTGTTTCACAAATATTTTCGGCAGAGATTGCTAAGAACCTCACTCATAAAGTTTATCGGGCTGGCTTGGTTACAGTAAGCTCATCAGAAATGGACCCATTTTGAGTGGCCGTCATAGGCGCCTTGTTAGTCTTCGTCCGAGTTTTTATTGAAATAGTGTTGATATCATAGTGATTTACTACAGAGGTCACGTTGTCCTCTCATCCGCGAAATTACGTAACATATATCTATTTATTATATTCATTTATTTATTTATTCATGATCATTCAGTGCTATGCATTTGCTCAAATACGTATCTACATTGACGAATAATTATTTTGGAACTAGGCATTAAGAGTTAACTATTTTTACTCCCGGCTGAAAGTAACAAGTGAGCCAAATAAAACAAACAAACAAAACAAATGAAAAACAGATTTCGTTTATTAAGAGGTAGAGAAACCTTAACGTACTGAATCAATTTCTCCTTAACGGCTCCGTTAGAGTTTCTGAATTAAAATAAATTGCAGTTAGGCCAAGCATTTGAATCCCGCTGTCCAATAAACACTTTTCGCGAGATTTAAGTCAATAGCTTTCGGGAATGTGTCTGGATTTTGAAGAAATTTCCTCTCATCAATGCCATTTCTATTTCAGATCGGACTTCATTAGCATATCTGTTTGATAATATATTTGGATCCATCGAGTGCTTGTTTTTCTGACAAGAAATATTTTTGGACACGTGGTCAATTGTTTGTTAAACAATATACAAACAATTATACACAGTTTAGCAGTGCTAGATCGGGACTAAAGTTTTCTGGGTGCATATACTACTTCTGAGTTACTTTTAAATAGTATTCCGTTATAGAATCAATAACATACTCTATCCCGGGCTCACTGATGTATATTTTTTTAAAAAATGAAAGAAAACTACGTAATGGGACTTTGTAGTTAGACCACCGAGTATAGAATGATCTAACTCGCCGCAATAAATCCATGAGGTGCATGAACACATAAATAATTTGGCTGAGGAGAATAAAGAACTGATGGACTTGGATCAATTTGCTTCTTACCTTGAAATTTGGTCAAATTTTCTGAGATTTAACGAAATGATAAATAAATTCTCTGAACAAACCGATGATTGATAAGGATCCCGGCCTTAATTCAACATAGCAAGACTACTTTCGTCGAAGCAGCCGAGCAACACGATGTTTCAAATAAGCCACCAAAACGCCAGCGTCGAAAATTTATTTTCCATTTACGATGTATTGCAATTACGTCCAAACATAAATCTTCGACCTACTCGCTACTATGGACTTTTCTAAAATGTCCTTCCTTTATCTTTATACAAACAACCCCGAGTTTAGAATATACGAGTCACCTTTGTACAACAGCCACGTTGCCAAACTTAAAGTCTTTGGATGACTGTTGGTATCTCGGAATCCCTAAACATGAAACGACGACCGTAGAGGAAAAATCCGCGATTTCCTTCTTAGTATCAAAAGTACAGCGTATGTCCTCTTTGTCAATTTCACTTTAAGCG